ACAAATAACAAAATTTATCCTGGAAAAGAAATGTGGTTTTCCCTTTTTAAGGGAAAACTCCACTTCATCCTGCTGAAAACTACAGAAGGAGAAAATGAAATGTTATAATTAGCGATATTTCTGAATGAATATTATTAAACAGTGTTTGCCTGTTGCTTCTTTTTTCTTTTTCTTTTTTATTTATTTTTATTATTATTTTGTTTTATGACACAGTTTAATAGGCCCTGGGGTTTCCCTTTCCTCTCCCCAACTCCCTGCCCTCCCCAGTGATTTCCCCTCCAGTTTACAATGTATGTCTTTCATGAACTTTCACAAGTCCTTCATACTGCCACTGAGATGTCTCCTAACAATGTAGGCATGGACAAAGTCAGAGAGTCCACGGACATTGTCAGCCATCTCGCTGGGAGCCTATCCTTGTACTATGTGCACAGAGACATACTTCACTCCGTCTCCCCTGTGAACATATCAGTTCCCACTATACTTCCATTATGTATCCCCTTAAATACAGAGCCAGTGTGCACAGCCCACAATGGGGAGAAAAATAGTGAATTTTCAGGCCCAGCACAGTAGTTTTGTGGCTTAAGTCCTCACCTTGCATGCCCAGGATCACACATGGGTGCCGGTTCTAATCCCGGTGGCCCCGCTTCCCATCCCTGTTTGTGGCCTGGGAAAGCAGTCGAGGATCCAAGGCTTTGGGACCTTGCACCCACATGGAAGACCCAGAAGATGCTCTGGGCTCCTGGCTTCGGATTGACTCAGCTCCGGCTGTTGCAGTCACTTGGGGAGTCAATCAGCAGATGGAAAATCTTCCTCTCTGTCTCTCTTCCTCTCTGTATATCTGACTTTCCAATAAAAATAAAATAAATCTTTTAAAAAGTAGTGAAGTTTCATCCACATGAAGTTAACGAACATGTAACAAAGATATCAACATGATGCTAGAGTGATATAAAAGAGTGTCAAGAATCTTCATGTAGGAATAGATGCCATCATGTGACCCATGTAGTGCTAAATAAAAGTACAGTAGAGACTAGAACATCACTACTTAAGAGAAGTAGCAATAACAGTGATAAAAAAGGACATTAACAATCTCGGGTGATTGTAAGCAATCAGTCTCTTATGTATGATTGACTAATGATTTACAACACAAGTTTCATTGAGAAAGGTAGATACAGCTGGGAAATGCAAAAGCGTAAAATTCACAGGTAAAAATACTTAGATTTGACATCCTATTACTATGACTTGAAACAGGAATGAGCCAATCCCTGAGATGACATGCGAAACTTCCCCTAGCCATGTTAGCACTGAGCCTCATCAGGGCACAATGTCTTAGAATTAGATATATGTCTACCTGCATTCTTTTGTAGAAATGCATTCCATTGATTTTCCTTGATTCCTGGTATTCTGGCCTTCATTACATCCTTCGATTGTGGCGTTGTATGTGTTGATTCTTACTTTCCCAAAAGCATTTGGCTGCCAATTCACCAACATCTGTGAAACAACTCCTTGTGTGTCCCCTCAAGAGAATCACTGAGGGGTTTTGTTTGCAGAAGTGGTTTTGTTGCATACTGTTTGCTCTGTGGCTGCAGTGGGAAACACGTGGGTCCCTCTTCTGAATGTTGTTATTTTGAGGAAGCTGCTGCCCCATCAGAACACTTCTTGTCATTTGATATCCTTCGTGGTCACCAGGGTCTGACTCACACTTCTGGAGAGCTTTCTCTGATCCCTGGATTCCCCCCACAGTTAATTACTACTTATCATGTTGCTGTACTTGTTATACGTTCCCCTTTATATAATTCTTCCTTATAAGTTTCTTTTCTCAAAGTACCTGTTTGTTAAACCTCCCGTTGGGACTCCCAACAGGATGGAGTGCCTGGCTTCACATCCTAACTGTGCTCACAACCAGCTGCCAGCTAAGGTGCACAGCGGCAGCAGGGACGGCTCAGTCAGGTCCCTGCCTCCCATGTGGCAGACCGAGATTGAGTTCCTGGTTCCCAACTTTTGCTGAGTGCAGCTCCAGCCTTGTATGGACATTCAGGGAGTGAATCTAAATGCAGACAGTAGCCCTCTTTGTCTTTTTCTCACTGCTTCTCAAACAAATGAATAAATGGTTGGTGCCTCAGTTTAAAACAAACAAGCCTCTATCCTCTTCCTTAGGTAAGGAGACCCTGTGAGCCAGTCTTATTTGGCAACTTCTACACATCACTCAACTGAAAATGGGGCCAGATATACAGGAGGTGCTCCAATAGCAGCTGATTTTCTCTCCTGTGAAATTTTCCAAGCTCATAATGAAGAAAATGCAGAGGTAATTGGGATATTTCACACTAATTATTTGAGAAGAGGAAACGCTATGCAATAAAGAAATTCTTGATCATTTGTGAGAATGTTTCCACAAGGGGGAGAAAAGTGTAAAACGCACGAGGTGTATAAGTGGCAATGGAAATTGAAACTTGTAGAAAAAAAAAAAATACTCAGGTGGTAGGAATGCAACTATAGGGGAATTTTTTTTTAAAAGCTTCATGTAGGAAGATTCATTTCCCACTCTTTTGGAAAACGCCTAGGCAGTTCATTCAGAACACTCAAAGCCAAATTAATTAATCCATAGACTAAATTCTAAAATGGCACTTTAATCAGAAGGAAACTTCAAGAAGGGTGGATTTTTGGCAATGTGGTAGGTCTATTCCTGCTAAAAATATAGAATAATGGATAAAATAAATATAAAAAGTATGCCCAACTTATGATCAAGCTGAAGACAGAGAGAAATCGATCTCAGCATGATGGCTCAATGGCTAAATCTTCACCTCGTAAGTGCCAGGATCTCATTTGGGTGTTGGTTCGTGTTCCAGCTGTTCTACTTCCCATCTATCTCCTTGCTTGTGGCCTAGAAAAGCAGTACAGCATGGCCCAAAGCCTTGGAACTCTGCACCAGTCTGGGAGACCCAGAAGAAGCAACAGACTCCTGGCTTTTGCTCTGGCCAATGAGGCCATTTGGGGAGTGGACAGAAAATCTTTCTCTTTATCCTCTTCTCTCCTTAAATCTGGTCTGCCTTTCCAAGATAGATAGATGATAGGTAGGTAGGTAGGTAGATAGATAGATAGATAGATAGATAGATAGATAGATAGATAGATAAAAAGTTACAGAGAAATTCCCAGTGGGCAGTTTTTAAGAATGAAAACAGTGGATCAAAATTATTCCACAGCAGGTTAAGCTACAACCTAAAGTTCCTGGCAACCCATATATAACCACTGGTTCAAGTCCCAACTGCTCCAGTTCTGATCTACCTCCCTAATAATTCTTCTGGAAATAAACAAAAGATGACACAAGCACTTGAACCTTTGCACCATGTGGGAGACCAAGCAGGAATTTCTGGCTCCTGGTTTCAACCTGATGTAGCCATTATAGTCATGGTGGAAGTGAATCCATGTACAGGTATCTCTTTCTCTCTCTCCTTTGACTCTGCCATTTAAACAACTAAATAAACCTTTACAAAACAAAATGTATGAAAACAAAGTTTAAACATTAGAGGATTTGGATTTAAGGGAAAATATGGAAATTCTAACACTAAAACAAAAAGGAGAGCTCCTGCAAACACTCTCACACACACAGAGCCTTAGAAATAGCAGTAATGTTCTGTATGCAGGTCTTGAAGTTGAATAAAAGCACCTGTAAACCTCCACCAAGTTAAAAAAAAAAAAAAGGTAGGGGTATGAGGTGTTAGACGCAACAAATCAGAACTGGCCAATGGACAGTTAGGTGAGTCAGAAGGCAATTAGGTCAGATATGTACACCTAATTTTTATGAAAGCTAGGCAAGATTGTAATCCCTGCTTTCTGATTAGCTGTCATTCTGTTTCTCCCAATTGGTTACATTTAGGCTTGATTTTCAAAAAAAGGACCACTTGGAGACAGTCACTTGATGTCTAAAAAGTAAACACTAGTAGCTTCTCTGGCAACTCCTCCCTTGGAATCTGTGACCTGATGGCTGCAGCCAAAACATTCCCACTTTCAATAAATTTTGCTTTGCTCTCTGTGCCTGTCTACATAGTAATTCCTCTTCAACAGGCGGCGACAATGGAGATCATCCTCATCCCCATGCTCTGGCAATACAAGGAGAGTTCTACAATTACAATATCTTCCTGACATGCAACCCACAATTCAACACATGAATATGAACCCTGTTCCAGGAGCACTGGTACCAGGACCTCACTCCTCAATCAACCAGCACAGAACTGTTGTTGAATGCCACTTTTCTGGAGTGAAGCCTTCCCCAGCAAGAAACATGAACTAATTAGTTAGCATTTATAATCTCTACAAAAATAGCAGGTCATCATGGAACATTATGAATCACACAAGGAGGCCTGTTACCAAAGAAGAGTCATTTCATAAAACACATATCACCCCCCAAAAGATGAATTCATTGAAAAAGTGTTGGTGAAATTTAACATGATTTCTTTTAAGTGATAAAAGATTTTTTTTTAAATGACTAAAATCCTTTAGGAACCAAACAGGACCTTTTGAGGAAACAGTGGAGACTGTAAAAAATAATCACTCAGCAACCTAAATGGATTAGGTTTTTACAGCAAAACCCAGAGAACGGAATGCAACAAATCAGAAACAGATTATTAAAAAAAAAAAAAAAAAAAAAAAAGGCAGAAGACCCTGAGTTTAAAAGATGCAAGGAATAAATGACAGAAAATATAAAAGATTAGTCAGAACTGGAGAATTTATAGTTATGTGCAAGATCTCTAAGTAGAAAATAGAGTCCATTTGTTAATCTAAAAACCACATTTCTATCAAAAAGTTGAGGAAGTACACAAAAAATAGTGTACATACTTCACTTTTTTCTGATACATAATCATAGTCATTGCCTTAAATCTACAGCTTTTTTTTTCTTTATTCCAAAAGATGTCCGCTTAGAAACTGAAGAAAAACATGTTGATCCAATTATTTTAAAACGTAACTACTTGGGCTCGCGCCGTCAGCCCGTTGCCGCCAGGCGACCAAAGCCCCACCATGTCCCAACCCAACCGGCAGGAGTACAAGCGTGGGGACCTGGTGTTTGCCAAGATGAAGGGCTACCCGCACTGGCCGGCCCGGATTGACGAGGTGCCTGAGGTCACCGGGAAGTCCCCAGGCAATAAATATCAGGTGTTTTTTTTCGGGACCCACGAGACGGCTTTCCTGGGACCCAAAGACCTGTTTCCTTATGAGGAGTCCAAGCAGAAGCTGGGCAAACCCAACAAGAGGAAAGGCTTTGGCGAGGGGCTGTGGGAGATTGAGAACGACCCCACAGTCAAGGCTTTTGGCTCCAACTTAGCCCAGAAAAAGAGCGACAAGATAGAGGCCCAGCCCGCACCCACAAATGGCGACGGCGATAAGAAGGGAAATGTGGAGGGAAGCAGTGATGAAGAGGGGACGCTGGTCATGATCATCGATGAACCAGCCGCGGAGAAGGAGAAGGAGGCGCTGAAGAGGAGAGCCGGGGACCTGCGGGAGGAATCCCCTAAACGTACCAAGGCTGCGGAAGCCCTTGAAGGGGAGAAGGCGATGGTGGCCATCTTGGAGGTGGAGCAGCCAGTGCCGGTGGAAGAGGAGGAGGAAGAGAACGCCGTGGCCTCTGAGCTGCCTCAGGAGAAAGAGGAGGAGAAAGATGTCGCCAAGAAGGAGGCTGAGGCCCAGCAGGAGAGGTGAGAGGGCCCACTGGGAGGAGCAAGGCCTGTGGTGGGATCTCCAAGGGAATAAATAACCCTACTCCTCTCTGACCTTCCCCATAGCCACCAGTGATTCAGGAGAAGCCCACGCCCCCTTTCGGATGCAGTGCAGGTGTTCCTGGGTGAACTGGCCATAGCCTGCAAAGCCCTTTCACACACCAACCTGCTCTCTCCTTCCACTCACTCCCCAGCTGGTGCTCAGCCTCTGGGGATAGACCTTGATAGGGCTAGCTGCTTTTCATTTTCAGGTCCCTACACCTCTGAGATCAGTCAGGGCCCTGTCTTCAGTTCCCTGGGAAGTTATGTGGCCATTTGTGTCCCATCGTACTTGGAGCTAGTTCCCAGGGCTTCTGCTGGGCCCAGTTTTGGCTGTTCCTCCTCCTCTCCCTGACGGAAGTGGATGGGACCAAGCATAAACGACAGGGAGGATGTCTGGGGCCTCAAATGAAAGTGGAGCGGGGTGAGGAGAATATGTTTTTAGCACCTCTTCCCTCTTCCCACATCCGGTTTACTGTCAGGGAAGGGCGTGCTTCCATAAAGCTCTACTAATTGACAACATCCGTTTTTCCTTTTGCTCACCCAGGATTTCTGGGAGTTGTAGTTTATCATCAGAAACGTCAGGGGCTTCCAAGTTGTTTGAGTCAAGGACAGGAGATCTGAAGGGTAGAATTCACCTATCCAAGTGAGGTGTCACACATCTGCCCCCCTCAGGAGTCAGAGCTGAGCAGAGAGCATCAGTGACACCCCTATCCTTCTCCACAATGCTCAAGGCCAGCCTGTAGTCATGTATGTCACCCAAAAGGAAAAGACAGGTATTCTAGAATACTTTTAATAGAATAAAATTACAAAAAAAAATTTTTTTTTGAAGATCTCCCACCCATTGGTGTGCTCCCCATTCTGCTCCTTTCCCACCATTGCTGCCATGTCTGGGATGCACGGGAAAGCTCCTCCTCTGTTTGGGACTGATGACTTTGTTTTTATAGCTGGGGCCCTGGTGTACCTTTGGGTGTCACTTTCTATCCACATCGCCAGTTTATCTCACTCGGTGGTGGTAGCAGATCTGAGCTCTGAGCCACTGAGAGGACGGAGAAATCAGCGTCAGCTCCCAGTCTTGCTAAGGTCTTTCCACGTCTCTCTCTTCATTAACACTTGCTCTTCTCCAGTTGTCTCTGATGGAAAATTGCTGACTGCAACTTGGAAAATTACTGAACAACCAAAGATGATTTCACCTCCAGGAAAATAAAACCCATTGATTTCTAAACAAACACACAAAACAAAAAACTAAAAATAGGTTTGGATTTTGCAGATTTCTTAGGAATTAAAAGACAAAGCATAAAAGGAAAACAAGTGATAAATTTGGCATTACTACATCACTAGCATGAAAACTTTAAACCCCCTGAAAGAATATTGAAAAAAAAAATGAAAAAAAAAAAATTCATTGGGCCCGGCACCGTGGCCTAGTGGCTAAAATCCTCATCTTGAACTTGCCGGGATCCCATATCGGTGCCAGTTCTAATCCCGGCAGCTCCACTTCCCATCCAGCTCCCTGCTTTCCCTGGGAAAGCAGTCCAGGACGGCCCAAAGCTTTGGGACAATGCACCCATGTGGGAGACCTGGAAGAGGTTCCTGGTTCCTGGCTTCGGATCGGCGCAGCACAGGCCATTGCGCTCACCTGAGGAGTGAATCATCAGATGGAAGATCTTCCTCTCTGTCTCTCCTCTCTGTATATCCAACTTTGTAATAAAAATAAATAAATCTTTTTAAAAAGAAAGAAAATTCATTGACTTTGAAAAATATTTGCAAAGCATGGTAATAAGGAACATGCATATACATTGCAAACAACTCTTTCAAATCAATAATTTTAAAAAATCCACTCCTTTTGGAAGTAGGAGGGAAGACTTGAACAGATACTTTACGCAAGAACTTGAAAAACAGAGTTGAAATAAAAACAGCAAGCATGAATTCACAAAAGTGGAACTGTCATAATTCACAAAAGTGGAACAGGAATACCAAATGGTACAACATTGGCAAACAGTTCATCAGTTTCCTATAACACCCATAAACAGTGCCACAGCTGAGAATTCACCATAACATCCCAGAAATCCTTCTCCAAAGTGTTGCCAAAACACTAGAGACAAAATAATATCCATTACTAGTGAACAGAAAAGCCTGCTGTGAAGTACTGACATAACATAGCACAAGTCAGCAACGAAAAAAATGATCTGTGGATGTATGCCACAGTTGGGGCAAACCTCTAGAGCATTGTGTCAATGAAAGAAGCCAAATACAAAAGGCTACCTCATTGTTGATTGCATAATGTGACATTCTGGAAATGATACCACTACAGGGAAAGAGATCATTGATTTCTGGGGCTTGGGAGTGGAAGGAGAGAATTAAAAGGCATAAGGGAATTTATTGGGATAAAAAGAATATTCTACATTGTCAAACATGAGGGCATCTATTTGCCAGAACTCATTGAAGAAAGCACCAAAAGAAGGAAACTCCCATGCTTAAGTTATTCCTCAACCACTTGAATCTTTAAAAGATGCACATATATTTGTTCTCTGGCTTGGTAAACACTCTGTAGAATTAGAAGTTCCAACACATCCAGTAAAGTTGAGGAAGTGAAGAACAGAGCGAGTGGGAAGGGACAGCTACCACAGGCATAACAGCTGATTTTTTACAAAAATTAAGTATTTCTTCAGATATAAGAAGCACATTAAGTTCTGAGCAGCATAAATAAAACTACAGAATATCAAGCTAAAGAAAAGCCAAACTGTGTCTAGAGGAAGAAAAGAGATTAAAAGTAAGGACAATTTTCTCAATAAGTACAGACTGTTCAGGTTTCTTGTTTCATTGTCTGTTTCCCATGTACCTGGTAAACACATTGCTAATGTAAATCCAACTCCCTTTTCTCCCTTCTCAATAAAAGAAAATCCTAGTGCTGCAGTCTTGAGCTTTTCAGATGCTAAGTGCCTCACTTTCTGTTTAGATTGATTTTCAGCTATAATGAAAATTCTAATATGATACTCTTTACACATGTCTCTATTTGCAAGCCAGCTTCTTGCTAATGTATACCCTGGCAGACAGTGGCTCAAGTACTTGAGTCCCTGTCACCCACATGGGAGAGCCAAATGGAGTTCCTGTCTCCTGGCTTCAGCTGGGCCCAGACCTGGCTCTTGTGAGCACTTCAGGGACTGGACCAGTGATCAGAAGATCTCTGATTAACTACCTTTCTAGTGAAAGTAAAAAAAAATTTTAAACGTCCCATAGCATAAGAATACTTACACTATTGTTTGTATACATGATGTAATTGTATTTTCCCATAAAATGTTCTGATATACTCTAACTCAGATAATCAGACAGTATTAGATAAATCCATTCATTCCAATTTGTTCTTTTACTCATAGTTTTTTCTTTGTGTTTCTATATCAATTTTGGAATGATATATCTAATACTACCCTTTCTACAAAAAACCTTCATTGTAATGCATATACTATGTGGTAAAATACAGTGTCATTATTTAGCAGTTCAAACGATGTACAGAAGTCTTGCCTCTTAAAAGCAAAAATGGCTGAAAAGGGTATAGATCTGCAGCCAGCCAAACAGTGTAACTAGCTTGAGTCACTATCTTACCAGATAAAGGGAGGAAGAAATTGCTGTGCATTCCACCACTCACAATTTTAGCTGAGAGGATTCCACAGCCATCCACTGACTGAATTTCAACCAGGAAAGTTGATTGGGATCTGAGCAACTACTGGGATTCTAGCAGGGAAACTGCCCTGCTTCCTTCCTCTCCACTACTACTGCTGAGTGCCTCTGTTGCTTTTCATAATTAGAAGCAGAGCAATGCATACAGCAAAAGATAGATCACCTGTATCCTGCAACTGTGGGAGTTTGGGGGCATTATCCCCAGAGCTAAAATCACACACTCTACATAAACCAGCGGCATTCCCCTTAGCTTCTGTGTGCTAACACCAAAAGCAGTCATTTAAAAAAATAATCGACTCTCACCTGGCAAATCTGACCCCATTATACCTTCCAATACCAGGACTATAACAAGACATTCTAAATTTCTTGGTGTCACTAGAATTTACCCAGGGGACACAGGGAAGAGTCTACGTGCAGCTGAACAGATGAAGTGGAAGACAGGACTCCTGACCTCAAAAACAAAAAATTTGGAATAAGCCAATCAGACAAGAACAACAAGAAAAGAATAAAAAGAATGAAAATGTCTACATGAAATATGAGCTGCCATTAAATAACTAAATACTTGTAAGTATTCTTGAAGGAAAAGAAAAAGGAAAAAATGTGATAGCCTGCTAAATTGAAAAGGACATAGACATTCAAACACAAGAAGGTCAAAGAAACCCAAGAAGGCTGAACCAAAAGAGGCTTTCTTCAAGGCATCAAAAACATCAAAACATAGTAAAAGAAAAGGATCAAGTTACATGTAAAAGAAAGCTAATTAAAATACCATCAGACATATTGGTGGAAATGCTACAGACCAGTCCAGAGGAGAGCGAGATGACATATTCACAACCTTAAGAGCCCAGTGCTGCAGCCATGTGGCCAAAGTCTTTGCCTTGCATGCCCAGGAGCTCTCACCCCTGTGAGAGACCTGGAAGAAGCTCCTGGCTTCTGATCAGCTCAGCTCCAGCCATTGAGGTCACTTGGGGAGTGAACCGGAGGATGCAAGATTTTTCTCTACCTCAATCTGACTTTCCAAGAAAAATAAATAAATCTTTCTTAAAAAGTTATCGTGAATACACATAACACAACAAAATTCATTAATAAAATTCCAGTCAACAATAAGACAAGCTTTAGTTCTTGTCTATAATTTCATTGAATGTAAATGGATTAAGTTCACCAACCAAAATATTTAAGCTGACTTAAATTATATTATATTATATCGCTATGTACAAAACCTTACTTCACAAAGGTATGCACAAAAGTGAAGGGTTGGAAAAAGATATACCAGGTAATGGAAACAAAAAGTGAGCAGATATAGTTATCCTGATACCAGAATAAAGAGGCTTTAAATCAAAAACAGTAAAAGGAAATATATAAGGGCATTATATTTGATAAAAGGTTCAATCAGCAAGAAGAAGAAGCCATCATATATTTATGTACCCAATCCAAGTCCACACAGATATATACAAGAAATACACTAAACTTAAAGGGATATACTTCAGTACAAAATAGTAGGTCACTACAGCACCTCACCCTCTGCAATGGACAAATAATCCAGACAAAAAAAAAAACTATAAAATGCATTGGAACTGAAACATACCATCATGTAAAATGGGACTAAGAGACATTTTCAGGACATTTCACCCAACAACTACAGAATAGCCATACTTTCCATCCACACATGGAACATGTTCTAGGATAGACCACATATTTAGCTACAAATAAGTCTCAGAAAACTTTTAAAAATTGAAATCAAATGATGTGTCTTCTCAGACAATAAAAGAATAAAACCTGAAATCAAAAGGAACACTCATAAATACTTGGAAATTAAACAACATAATAATGATCAATGAGTCACTGAAGAAATTAAAGCATAAGTCAAAGCTTTTTTATAATAAAAGAAATGAAAACATATCAAAACCTATGATACACAATGAAATCAGTATTAAGAGAGAAGTGTATAACATTAAGTATTTATGTTTAAAAAAGAAATGTCTCAAGGATCTATTGATGATCTTGAAGACAGAAAAACAAGAATAAACCAAACCCCAAATCAGCAAGAGATGAGAAAGAATACGGATCACAGCAAAAGTAAAGTTGAAACAACAAAACAAAAACATTAAAAAATCAACAAAAAAGTTGGTTGCTTCAGAATATAAATAAAATGGACAAAGATTTAGCCAAGCTGAAACAGAAAAGGAAAAAAAAAACTCTAAATAAAATCAAAGAGGAAAAAAAGACACATTGCAATAGCACAACAAAAATACAAAGGATTGTAAACAACTATTACGAAGAATGCAATGCTAATATACAGAAAAACCTGAAAAAAGGGACACAGGTTTGAATTCCTATAACTTGCCAAAATTAAACCAAGAACATGTATACAACCTCTACAGATCCATTCACTCAGATTTTCATTTTAGTTACTGTGTTTTCCACTATGAAATTTGTGTTTGCTTCCTCTTTATAGTTTCTATATATTTGCTGAGATTCTATGTTCTTAATGTTACATGTTTAAATTTTATCTCTCTAAAATTTAAGCATTAAAATTCCTAATCATGGCACAGTGGGATAAGCTGCCTTCTGTGACACTGCCATATATATGAATGATCATTCTAAGTCTAACTACTCCACTTCTTATTCAGCTCCCTGCTAATGCACTTGGGGAAACAGGAGAAGATTGCCCTACTATTCAGGCCCATACCGCTTTAGTGGGAGACCAGGATGCAATCCCAGGCTCCTGGCTTCATCCTAGTCTAGCCCTATCTTTGTAGCCATTTGGAGAGTGAACCAGCAGATACAAGATAGCTTGTTCTCTCTATCTAACACTACCTTTCAAATAAATAAGTCCTAAATATATATACATAAAAATCCTAGCCCATAATATGTTGGAATGTAACTTACTCAGAATCAAGGTTGTTCCAAGTGTAATTAGTTAAGAAGGAATCATAGTGGAGTAGAGTAAGCCCCTATTTCCTGTTGGAAAGAGGCAAGTCCATTTCCTGTTGCTATAATAGAATGTCACAGACTGGGTAAATTATACATAATAGAACTTGATTTGGTTTGTGATTGTGGATGTATGAAATTTCAAAAGCATGGCACTGGAACATTGTAAGAGACATTGTACTGCCTCATTATGTGGTAGAAGGACAAAAGAATAGAAACAAAATACATAGAGAAAATTGGGCCAAAGCAACTTTGTTTCAGGAATATACTCCTGCAATTATAGCTCAGTCTTAGTTGCTGTGGGCATTTGGAAAGTGAACCAGTAGATGGAAGTCTCTCTCTTTCTCTTTCCCTTGCCTCCACCCCATATATGTGTACTGTTATGCCTTTCAATAATAAAAATAAACACTTTCACAAAATGACATTTGCACACGTACATACACATTGGGAGAATACCACATAAACACAGACATGTTCACATATCAAATGAGAAAAAAAAAAATGATCTGAAGCTAGATAAATAGGACCAGAAGATATTCTCCCTCAAAGCCCTCCAAACAAATCAACCAGGACAACACTTACACTAGATTCTAAAATTTCTGTGATCCTCATGCTGACATCTGTTCATTTTCTGTGTTCATTTAGCTTCAGCAATTCCTAGTTGTTGGTAGCATATGTGATTTTCTACTAAAACCAGATTATTTTTTTTTCTTGTGTTTTGACATGCCAGTACTTATTTAGACCTTATCTTTTAGCCGGCTTTCTCTGACATCACTCCAAACAGGACAGGGAGAGGTTGGCATCATGACAAAGAAATCCAGATTTTCCATTCATCCTCAACTGGCACCCAAAGGGAGAAGCTACTCATTAGTAAGGGGCAAGAGTGTCAACTCATTCACGAAGCTGTGGTGATGATCTTAATATTGTTAGGTAATGGTGAAAGTACTGGTTTTCTACTAGTCTTCCTCTGATATAACCTAGTGGAGTACTCCTTACTGCTGAGTGTGAGTGAAATTCTAAACTTCCTACTTACAGCGCATTAACAGGTTAAGGTGGAGAGTTGTTGATACCTCACAACAAGAGGGAAGTCTTGCCTCATTCCTTTAGCTTACTGTGAAACCACCATTAGCATGGGTTTGAAGGTGCTTTTCTTAGCTTCTGGAAGATAGAAGTCTTAAGCTTCCCACTGGGTCTACAGTTCTCTGCAGTTTATTTGTCTGCAGTAAGATGGTAATGAACAGTATATTTTCTTCTTAGCTGCCTCTTTGCTGGGACTTTGACTAAAAAGATAAACTTTTGTTGGGGTTTGGGAAAGGAATTGTATTTATTTATTTATTTTTAACTTAAGCCTTTTGGTGTTTCCAGATTGGTGAACTCTTCAGCTTGAAGTCTGAGAAATATGAAACAGAAAGCCCAGGACACTCATTGTCATGTGATCCTCAAGTCTGGAGACCCATGACTGATCCAACATCTTTTCTCTACCATCAGGATCATAATTTTATATTGTTTTATATAAGGTGTCCATGGTGTTAAAGATTACTTATCAGAATAGCAAAAAACATGTCTATTCCAATTTTCTAAAAGTCAATATCTAAAGATATCTTTTAAACTAAAGAAAATATCCCAGCTATTTGCTAAATAAAAAGTACTGTTTAAATTCTTGCTAGTATTGTAAAATAATTATTCAATCTGACTTCTGAATGATAAAGCTGTATTGAGACACAGCTGTTTACATAACCAAGAAATATTGATTATTTCAACATTTGTACTTCATTAAATCAACTAAAGTCAGTCGCTGATCTTTCATTGTTGTTGAGCAAAAAGTAATGCAAGACACAAATTTTTCAAAACTCTTAGAAAAAAATTTCCCAAGAGGCACAATGGGTAAGTAAATATTTCTGTAACTAATGCAAAAGTAAAAAATAGGGCAAAGCCCCCAACCCTAGTCCAATGAACATTTTCTCATTTAAAAGTGAATGAATTTGATTCCAGTTCTACTTGTGGAGTGAACCAGTAGATCTATGTCTTTCTATGTCTTTTTCTATCTCTCTCTACATAACACTGACTTTCAAATAAATAAATAAATCTTTAAGAAAAACAAAATATAAATCTTTATTTAAAAAAACCTACAGAAAGTATCACACTATGAATATGAATATTCATCAGTATGAATATCTTGCCTGGAAGTCAAGAGCTAAGAAGACGACTGTCACTTCTGAGTACAATAGCACCATATTAGAAGTATACAATAAAGTGAAGTGATAAGATTTAGAAAAGAAAAATAATCTCATTGTGATTATGTATATAATACATGAAAATTTTCATAAAACCTAGCCACAAAATAGGACTACTAATAAAAGAATCCAAGAAGATTGCTGTCTACAAAGTAAGCACAACAAAATCAGTTGCCGTCGATAAACTTGAATCACTCAGTAAAGATACTATCATGCAGAAGTCTCTCCGTCACGGTAGCAATAACACAATTAGGTAGAAATATATATAACAAAAGATGTCCAAGATCTATGTGAAGAAACTAAAAAATATTGGTGAAAAGATGTCCAAGGAATTTTAAATACATGGGGAGATGAATCATGGCCATAAATAAGTAACTCAATTTACCCTGGGTAATTAGAATAATAGCCAATATCCAAACAAGATTATCATGTTAAGCTTTATAAACACTCCTTAAGATTCTTGTAGACAATACAGCCAAGACTTTTTTAAAAGGATATTAAGGAAGCACTTGTCCTATTAAAAAAAAAGACTTTGGCAGTAGGCATTATTGTGTCATAGCAGGTAAACTTATCACCTGCAATACCCTAATCCCATAGGGCCTCAATTCATGTCCCAGCTGCTCCACTTGTGACTCAGGCTTGGCCATTGCAGCCATCTGAGGAGTGAACCAGTGGGTGGAAAGTCAGTCTCTCTCTCTCTAAAGCTTATCCATGAGGTAACATGTATTGCCTTCCTTTCCAGGGCTGCATATTATTCCACATTATGTAAACACCACATTCTGTTCAATATTTATCCATGATGCTCATTGACATGCTTTTGCCTCGTGATTTTTGTAAGAAGCCAGTATGGACATGAGCACTTACATTTATCTTTGAGGACCTGCTTTCAATTCTATTGGATCGATATTAAGGGGGTTACTACTGGATAATATTACAATTCCATTCAAAAATTTTTTTAGGAAATTTCCATAATGTTTTTTATAGTAGTGACAACATTTAAAATTTGCAACACAAATGTGCAAGGCTTCTATTTGCTGTACACCCTTGCAAGCATTCACTATTTTAAGGTTGTTTTTTAATAGTAGAAATTTTAATGGGTATGAGCTTTGGGCAGGATTTTGTTTTTAAAGATTTATTTATTGCAAAGTCAGATATACAGAGAGGAGGAGAGACAGAGAGGAAGATCTTTCGTCTGATGGCTCACTCCCCAAGTGAGCGCAATGGCCGATGCTATGCCAATCCGTAGCCAGGATCCAGGAACTTCCTCCGGGTATCCCACGTGGGTGCAGGGTCCTAAAGCTTTGGGCAGTCCTGGACTGCTTTCCCAGGCCACAAGCAGGGAGCTAGATGAGAAATGGAGCTGCCGGGATTAGAACCGGCGCCCATATGGGATCCCAACGAGTTCAAGATGAGGACTTTAGCCGCTAGGACACGGTGCTGGGTCCTGGGCAGGATTCTTGACACAAAAAAGGTAGAACTATAAGGAAAAGATTAATAGATTGCTTTGTATTACATATAATTATTTGAAAATTAAGTTAATAAAGTTCTTACTTTTAAAGTAGTTGTGGTGGTCATTGCACAGTTCTATAAATATGCTAGCATATGTTCATACACTGACTATACCTGTGAACTGCACACCTAAATGTTTATTTTTTTATTTGAGAAGAAGAGAGAGAAACAGAGATAGACAGAGAAATCATCCAGTAATTCTTTCCCCAAATGTCAACATGCACAGCCAGTTCAGAAAAGTACAAGTTTGAATAATCCATAAACACATGAAAAGGTGTCCACTCATTTGTTTAGATAAGTACAAAATAAAACAACAATGAGATGCCATTTCACATCCATTACAAGTAACAACTTTCATGACTATAGTTGCAAATTCCAGTAGGAACTACTGTTGCATGGAGTGTTTGCCAATAACGAAGTGCCCATATCTTGCACGTGGTAATCAAAGTACGTATTCTTCTTGAACTACTTTCTAATGAAATCCATATGGAGACATTTCCTTAGCATTATTCATAATAGCAGTAACACAAATGTTTATAGTAAAGTAATGATCATAAATTGTAGTTACTCACTCCAGAAAGCAATTAAAATGATTAAACTAGATTTACTTGTATTAACATGGATAAATCTCAAAATCATAACAATAACAGATGGATGCAGACAGCATGATACTATTCAGTATCAAAACAGAATCATATAAGTTTTATGACTACAAAAAATGAATATTTTTAAGATAAAAATATTCACCCACTTTAAAAGAAAGAGACTGTCTCTGAAGACAGAGATAGGAAATCCGTATGGAGGATGAGTAGCACAATATATGTGTAATTTTAAAGCAATGTGAGCCCTTAAGACATGGAAATGTGGGCATTCTATCTTGGTAGGAAGCCTGTAGATATCATACAAATATCAGTCCCCCTGTTTTCCTATATTTGCATGATGCAGTGGACAAGGTGGGTTACAAACATTCAAATCCATCAATATTCTACAGTCTAGTGTCTGAAAGTCAAGTTTCTGTTTCATTTTCACAACTCAAAAATCACCTATTGATTTCATAGGGAAATAGGTTGCAATGCTTAAAAATTCAAATGCCTCTTGAAGCATAGCTGTCTTTTTGCAATGCTGGTGAACACTCAAAATGTTTTATTTGCACCAAACAGGAATTAACAAAAATACACTGTAACTATTGCTTAACATGAAGCAGGGTTTTGTGTTTTGTTGCTGTTATTTCAGAGAACACCAGCCAAAAGCTCCATTTTCTCATTTTGGCAATCCAGTTTGAAGAGAAACAATCTCCTATTTGCTTGTTCATTATGCTTTGTTAAGTATCTGCCAGAAGATGACGCTTGTTTTGCAGTATGGAAGAAAGTCTAATCTTGAGGACAAAAATAGAATTTGGTAGCAAGCACTACAACTGAGATTGTAGGGTTTAAGTGCAGTGGGGGGGTTACTGTTGGGGTTCAACCAGAGGCTTTTTCTAGCCTGGTCCTGAACATTTCTAGGGCCATATAGTCTGCACAGATCTACAGGCAATCAGAAGGAAACTGAGAGGTTAGGAACTGGTGTTGTGGTGCAGCCAATTAAGCTGCTGGTGTCCACTATGAAGAGTGTTCCATTTCCAATCCAAACACCTGCTAATGTGCCTGGGAAAGCAGCAGAAGATGACTCAAGCGCTTGGGTCTCTGTTTCCCATGTGGGAGACCTGGATAGAATTCCAGTCTCCTGGCCTCAACTCAGCCCAGCCCTGGCCATTACAGCCATCTGGGAATGAACCAACAAGTTGAAGTAACTCTTTTCGTTTCTCTCTCTCTCCCTCTCCTTCTCCCTCTCTTATCTCTCTTTCTCTCTCTGTAACTGTGCCTCTCAAATACATATATCTTCAAAGGAAGAGATCGAGGGAGTTGATATTGTGGTACAGTTAGTAAAGCCACTGCCTGCAATGTTAACATCTTAAATGGACATTGGTTCAAGACCCTGCTGCTTCACTTTCAATCCAGTTATCTCCTAATGTGCCTGGGAAAGCAGTGAATGATAACCCTTGTGCTTAGACTCCTGCACCCATGTAAACTTCCCACTCAGATCTGAAAGGAGCTCCTGGCTTTGACAGCTGTGGCCCTTTGGGGAGTGAACCAAGAAATGGATGATCTGTCTCTTCATCTATAACTATCTTTCAACTAAGTAAATTTTAAAATGAAGAGTTAATGGGGAAGTGTGACACTGATCTACCAGCCTCATGCTAAATACAGTGTTCACAGCTACAGGGATAATCTAGAGAAGTGCCAGTGTCTAGCTCATTTGACAAAAGGGTAAACTGAGGCCAAAGAGACCGAGCCTCTCTATACATTGACATCTGACGCTTTATAAACTTTTAGAGGCAAGAGTAGAACTCAAGGATTTGAAAACAGAACAGACAGTACAAGACAGGTGGTCCAGAAGCTTTTAACTGCCAGGACCCCCGTCAGGATGGCCACATCCAGTCCCCAGTTGCACAGCCAAATGTTCATAGCAGCCCAGGTGGAAGCCAGATCTGATTTCTAAAACAAGCTGGAAATCTAAATTTTATGTAAGCTCTCTTATTCTTAAATGCTGGAAACCAAGTCAAAACTGTGGAACACATCACATGAGCCAAACAAAACACATCTATGGGCCAAGTTCCAAGCTCTAGTCAGTATTTTGCAACATCTACCATAAAACACCAGTCTGAGGCCTCCTCCTGGCTGGTTTTTATGGCTCCTGAATGCAGGAAAAAGAAAACAAGCTCTGTTCAAAGCTGCTCCCAATGTCCAAGACATCTGAAATTAAATGTTCACTGCTGAAATCTGTTTTGATGAAAAGCAGCAGTTGGAAACAGTCTTTATACCTTTGAAGATCACAAAGCATACAGTTGACAGCCTGGCTCATGCAACAGAACAT